CTGCCCAGCAGAAATGACTACAGAGATAATTTTTGGTCTCATCCCTCACTCCTAGCTCAGTGTGATTCTGCCAGGCTCCATCCAGGCCCTGGGAAGCAGCAGAAGGTTTTTCACTGGCTCACGTGCAGCCCTGGTGTGCTGTTTCTCTGTTGGGATTAACACGCTGCATATCCCAAATATCCTGGTGGAAATTAATTATGCAAAATGCACATTTAATTTTGGGTGTCTGTCTAAAGAAATACCAAGGTCATGATCACAGCACTGCCTGGTATAGCAAATTTTGGAGTTTAGGGGAGTGGGGAAGAAGGTTTGTTCATGCACACAGGTGAGTTTTAGGGGATGGTGGTGTGATGGTTGCTGGGTTTTGTTGTTGCTTGTGTTTGTTTTTTTCTTTTTAAAGGAACAAATTGGTGTTACTCTGTTTTCTCCAGCAGTTCTCATTACCAACATAGCTATTACAACGTGCTGAGGCTGTTATTTGCCCGCAAGAGCTGAGAGAGTGGAATTTCCGTTCTTTTTAATAATGTGACTTTTACCAGGGCGAGTGGGCTGTGAATTAGTGCTTCATTATGGGCTGACATCAAACAGAGTCCCCACTTCAGAATTACCCACTCAAGAAAACAGCTTAGATTTGGTTGTCTGACTCATTTAGGCACTTGAACATCCTACCAATAGAGAATTACACCTAAAGTATATTTAACACGTTCTGCTGCTTTGAATAACAGTGGGTCTGATGCAGCAATACAATACATATTTTCATGGCTATTAAGGGACAATTATGTTTGTAGTGCTTGAATCCTTGTTCTGCAGTTTTCAAAACGTGGTAGAATTGCTAACAAACATGTTGACAATAAAGAGCAATTGATATAAGTGTGATCAAGGGTGTTGCTGGATTTGCAGTTGGAAACCTGAATTTAAAAAAAAAAAAAAGAAGAAACAGTTGGACAATTGAATCCTGCTCCTCTCACAGTCAATGTGTTCTGTGTATTACTTAAAAAAAATAAACAGGATTTGGTGCAAGTTCTAGCAGTGCCCGCAAATCTCACAAAGCTCCTGTGTACAGAGCTGGTGTCTGGGGGTGAAATATCACACAGGTTTCTTGATAAAACACCACATAACTCAGCATTGCCACTCGCCAGCAGCTCTGTGTGTGGAGCAGCTTTGTCATCAGGAATGCTCTGAGTTTTTCATAGCACCATGTTCTGTGTCTCTCCAGAGCATGGCTGTGCTGTTTGATGTGATCTTAACCTGTCCTTTGTCAATTACACGAGATCACAGAACAGAAACCTCTGGGAGCTGCTTGCAGTGAATGTGGTCAGCTGGCTCTGAGATGGGTTCTGATTTATTCTTGTATTAAAATGTCACTGTTCTCAGTCTCATTTAGCTTACAGAGATGCTCCAGGTCGTGTTTTCCCCTCCTGAATCCACAGATTTTTATTTTATCTTCTAACTGTCCTGAGTATCAGAGGAGTGTTCCAATGCAGCTGTTACAGGTTTGATACTCACATCGCTGTCACTCCACATTTTGGAATCTGTCTCAGCCACTTGCAGTCTCAGTGCTTGAGACTGAAAACTTGGCTTGTTGAACAAAAGGAGGGAACCCACTGGAGTGTGCAGTTTCCACATCCTTTTTGTATGGGGAGGAACGCCTTCTGTTGCTCTCACTTTGGGCAGAATCAAAGACTTTTTAACAAAGCTGAATTGTGGTTTTTTCTCCATTTTATTGCAATGGTGTGTATATTTCAGTTGATACAACTTTATGGACTTGGTACTAAAGCAATGAGGCAAATACATATTAGCAGGGGAAGGGAGAAGAAAATGCTGTTTCAGGAGACAGAAAGCCTCAGTTGCTAATTTTAAACTTCCTTCTATATGGCAAACTATAAACAGGCAATAAAAGCATTTAATTTGCAAATTACAGTTCTAGCTTGGTTTTTATGTTGGATTTTCTTCTGCTGTAGTCAGGATTTTTGTAATATTTTTACCAGAATATTTTCAGTGGCAGGATTCAAGCCTTTGCCTGGTAGGGTTAAGTAATTGTTAGTTTTGTCCATGAATAGTTGCTTTTCAGATGAAAGGAGATTAGAATTGAGGTGTAGTAAATGCAAGGAAGAAGTGAAAAGATTAAGGCAAGAGAAACTAATGAAAGCAGTTCAGTTTGGTGACCAGTTTGAGAGAGTTTTTAAGATCTGATTAATAAACCAGTCTTTAGTCCAGCAGATAAAATGCAGAAATACTTTGTGTGTTTCTGGCCTTTTCTTTCACTGATCAGTGGGATATTGGCATCCCATGGGTGCTGAAAAGGGAATCCTGTTCTGAGTCACCACTCCTCAGAACCGTCTTCTGTCCTGATCTCTGGTCTTTGTTTGCAGTTATATTTTATCTATTGAGACATTCCAGCAGGATGAGAGCCTCTGATTTCACAGGGATACAGTTCAATCTGTAAAAGTAAACAAGCTTTGCCATTATTAGTCCACCTTTTTAGGGATTTTATTTACCCTGAGGACTTCATGTCCCTTCCCAATGAGTTCATGTAATAATAAGTTTTGTTAGAAGACATAGCTCTCCTCCCTGGTGTTATTGTGCTTGGGATAGTGGCTTTATTAAAAATCAAACAAAAACCTAACAAAGAAGCTCAAGGATAAACAATCACTCTTGATGCACTTCCAAACAATGAATTTGACCTTTAGTCCTCTGAATCTGCTGCAGGAGCACCTGAAAATCAGACCAGCTTCGTGTTCAGGAGCAGCCAGAGCTCTCCAAGGTCAGAGATTGGGACTTCACTGTGTAATGCTAATAAGGAGCCCTGCTCCTGTTTTGCATGCTGATTTTTCATTATCAAAGCCGTGCCAGACAAGAGAATACAGAAGTTTGTAGAGAAATTAAGTGCTGTTATTTTGGCAGGTGTGTGAGGAGTCTGGTGGTTGAGCTGCTCTGGAAGGTGGGATGGGGAACTTCCTGCTAATTTGTGGGAAATGATTCTTTTATTGTAGCATGGCTCGTATTCTCCATTTTTGGATGGATATGCATTGCTGCTTGTTTCCCTAAAAACTGTTTTTGTGTGACAACAGACTTCACCTGTAATCAGTGATCAACAATTCCAATTTTTACAGGATTGCAGCAGCTCAAACAGGGCTGTGGTGGGTCCTCCTTGAGTACCTCTGGGCTGATTTCCTTCCCAGTCCTCCAGCACGTCCCACATCCCTTCCCAAGGTGCTCCCACCCAATCCCATCCTGCCCATAGGATTTGTTGGACAACACAAAGACAAGGAAGGTTCTGAAGATCTGTAGTTGCAATAAATGAGCACGTGGGCTTAAAAACCCATTTCAGTTATGGAAATTGTATTATTTAAGATTAATGACTTTTGATGGTTGTGATGTAAGAGGGCAAATTGTGGTGTAAATGAAATTTTTATGTAAAATATTAATTCTTTGGGTGTGATTCATCCTGGAACAGAACAGTGTGTGTTCTCTGAGGTGCTGTCAGCTCCTGGTTTTTCCTTGCGTGGCTCTGAGGAATGCTGTTGGGGCAGCTGATGAATGTACAATGTTATGGCAGAAAGAGCAAGGTGCTGGAAAGGCCTGAAACAATCATTTAAGGCTGTGCTGTTTTGATCCCTGAGTGAAATCACTTTGGCTGGGGTTTTATGTGACTTCTCCATCATGTCCAGCAAAAGGATCTGAGTTTATTCTGAGGATGCCTGCATGGGAATTCACTTGGAAAGCTGAAAACAGCCTAAGAAACATTCCTGTGAGCTTGATGTGCACTAACAAAGGACTGTACAACGCTCTCTTACTGCAGCATTTTTTAAAGGAAGCATTGAAATTCTGATCGCTCTTATTCAGTGTTCTCGCTGTAACAGCTGTTGCTTTGCAGTAATAAAAAATGCTATATTTTGGGGAAATAGCTGCTGTTGGTCAACTCACTGCTCCTATTAGGCTTGGTTATAAAGGCAGCCTTATTTAAAGACTGTGTTAGTTTAGTATCCTATGCAAGGTTATAAACATTTTTTTTTAATGCCTTTTGTTAGGGAAAAATACATGGCTTTCTTATGGAGAAGCCTTTGTAAGTGTAGGACTTGGATCTTGGCTTATATTACATGTTGTATTTTGCTTAGTTTAAGGGTATAATGAGGCCAAACTTTCTTGGGTCCAGTTAGAAAACCAATATAAATTTGTGATAAAATTTTTACATTTATGGAAACTGATTTAAGGGTATAATGAGGCAAAGCTTTCTTGGGTCTTGACTCACCAGTTAGAAAACCAATATAAATGTATGATAAAATTTTTACATTTATGGAAACTGACGTTTTTGCTTCCCCCCAGGAAGTGCTGGACAATGCTGTGTGTGATTTTTGGGGTGTCCCGTGCAAGGCCAGGAGATGGACTCAATGATCCTTGTGGATCCCTTCCACCTTAGGGTGCCATGTGATCCTTTAACAGTTTAAAATAATCCCAGCGACCCGAGGCCGGTCAGAGCAGAGTGCAGGGCTCTGGCTTAGTGATGCTCCAGGGGATTCTCCTGCAGGAATGTGCTCCAGGAGGTCCCTGGCTCATGGGAAAAATCCATGTCTGTTTTCTGAATAGCTGTTATTAATGTTATTTTACATTGGACATGGGAGCTTGATGCTGTGTTCATCCTAGCCTTGACCTCCAAAGAAGCAGTGACTTAAGGACCTATTTTTAAGTCATTGGCTCCTTTTTGGTTATCAAAGTCAGGGTAGCAGAAGCCCGCCATAAGAACAGAATTGGCCACAGGATCTGTTGAATTATCTCACTGCAGATTAGGTCCCTTCAGCCCTAATTCTGTCATCCCCCCTCGTGCCAGGCAGCCTTTTCTTCTGCACGGGCTGAGTCTGCCGGGTTCAGCTGCAGGAGACGGGAGGTCAGGATTTGAGAGTGTCTCAGAATGCCAGGATTTCAGAGCGTCAGGGTTCCAGGGTGTCCCTGTCCTGTCTGTTGGTGTTGCTGATGTCCTGCTGGCTGCTGTTCCCCTGCAGATGTGGAGAGCTCCAGGATGAAGATGAGGAGTGCGGTGTCGGTGCGCGAGGGCCAGGGCGTCGTGCTGCTCTGCGGGACCCCGCCCCGGGCTGGAGGTAAGGGGGACCCTCGGGGTGGTGGGGCTGGGCAGCATCCCTGGAAATGCTAAAAATCAGAATTGTAATGAAATAAGAGTCCTGAGTAAAAGCAGAGAGAAAGAAACCAGAAACAAAGGAGAGGGGAGGGAAGTGTTTAGGAGAATTTACTTTTATCTCAAAATGCCTTTCTCATTCGTAGTAATTTCTGTGCACTTAAGATGTCTGATTTTTATGGGATTTCCTGTAATTAATGGAGTATCTTCTAGAGTTGCATTCTGCCCAATTTCACAATTGCTGAGCCTCAGTGAGTCCAGTTCTCCCTGTGAGCAGAGAATTGCAGGTTGTCTTGAACAGTGCTGGTGTCTGCCTCTGTTCCTGCAATCAAGACATTCTGTGGTGGGATGGAATGATGCTGTGTAATTTAAACCACTGCTGCACTGAGGGGTGAGAAAAGTGGATATATGGATTCTTGGTGCACCAAAAGTTGCAAGTACATTTCTTCCCTCATTCTGCATCTTCAGTCTTTGACTAATTGCTATTGAGCCTGAAGTAATACCCGAAAGGAACTGGTTTTATTGTTTTTAATTGATACGGAGTGTCCTTATTGAAGGGCTGTGATGTTAAACATTAGATCTGATTGCAAAGACAAGGTAATAAAAGCTAGACATTATATTCAATAATATAGGTGTTGTGGCCTCATAAATTTGGCAGAGTCCAAGCAGCCACAGCCATAAAGTGGCAATTTTACAACTGTCTGAGCTTGCAGAATTTTTTCCCCTCTAAACTGATACATACTCTTAAATCATCTTTATAGCCTTGCAACAGCTTTGTCTTTCAGCAGCTGAGGAAATGGGTCATTCTCCCAGCTATCTGTAAGAATTAGAATGATTAAATTTTCCTTCTAGATGCAGCCCAAGGCCTGGACTGCCCCAGCTGTTCCTACAGCTGTGTCCTGTGTGTGTGTTTACACCCAGAGGTGATGGCCAAGCTGAGGCAGCACTGGTTTAAGGTTTAAGTTTGAGGTGTGGAGCAGGAGGTGATGCCAGACGTGCTCATGGTGCTGGGAACAGTGGTTGGAAGAGGTGAGAATTCCTCCTGCAGTCAGCAGATGGGAGATGATTGACACCCCCACACTAATTGTGGCATTCATGCAAAAACAGAGCCGAGCTCCCAGAATTACCAAATGGGACTGAGAACTGGTACCAGAAATACTTCAAAGCCTTGAATCTGTCTGAGAGTTGGAGGATTAACTGTTGAAGTTTCCAGGAGACGTGGAGCAAGGTAGAAAAAGCCCCTCTCCTTTCATCACTGAAATAAAGCTGTAGCAGGGTGACACAAAACACGCAGGGTGGGATACAGGGCAGCAAGTCTGGGATAAAACATCCAGCCTGGAAGCAGAAGTGGTTTGTTAGGAAGAGCAGGGATGGTTTAGGACCAGCTGACCTGGCCTGAGGGATGTTCAGCCCTTTCCAGATCAGTGATCTGACTCTTTTTTTTTTTTTTTTTTTAACTTGGAGTCTGTATTTATTGTGCTAAGCTGTCAAATAATTCCAGACAATACCAATTATAAAAACGTGCTCCACCAGCTTGTTTCCTCTCCCCCTGTAGCCCCCAAAATACTCTGCTTTTGTTTTCTGGTGTGTTCTGCAGTTTCTAAGATCTTGCTAACTTAATTGCACTTATTTCTTGCATTCTCTGTAAAGAGTTTGCAAGAAGAGACTTGATTAAATAGTGATTATTCCTCCATGTACAGCATCCCAGTTACAATAGAAACCAATGCTCATCCCCAAAGAAATGCCAGCTCATAGTATGGAAAAAGAAAATTGCTTCCCTTCTGCAATTTATCATATTTTTTCCTTGCTTATCTTAGACACAGATATTTACATAAATCATATGAATGTCCCTTTTCAATGGGGAGCAAATTATTCCTGCAGTGAGCAGTGGCTTTGTCCTTTTGAGTGTGCAGTTCCAGCTCCTCTGGGCTGTGGGCATCAAGCATTAAACCAACAATAAAACTCCATTTACGAATCACAAACCACTCCAATACTTTCTTTAGAGTTACCACATTTCCCCTTTCTGGAAATGAAATAAAATTCCCTTTTTTAGTGGTCTTGTTAGGGATTTAATGAGTGGAAGATTTGGTCAATGACTGGATTTGAGTGTGAAGACATTTTTCCCCAAATATTTTTCTGATCCAGGCTGGTTTTATGTTAAATACCCTAGGTTGTCTCATAATTGAGCAGTGATGTTTGGATAATTAAGATGGTCATCTGTCATCGTTCTGCATGGCCATACTTCTGGATCTTTGAATTCTGTTGCAGGGAACCTGTTAAAATACCACTTTTTTGCCACCAAAAATCAGTAAATCATCTCACCTACATACTCAAAAGGTAAAATAACATCAAGAATGGATCTATGTAGCTCTGCTGCTACTTTTCCAGTTGTTACAACCTTTAAATTTCACTGAAATTTCTACAGCTATTTTTACTGTGTTACTGTGATGTCTTTAATGGTTTTAAAGGGCTGTCGATCAACAAACATCTCCATATCCCAAACTCAGTGTTGGACACAGTTAATGTGCAGCTGGTTAAAAAACACTCATGTGATGCTAATTTTTGCCCATTCTGCCAAGAATGGGAAAAGCTAGACATATGGAGATCTAAAAATGATTTTTCTCTGCTACTGATTTTGTTCCAAAATTGGTATCTAACGAGTGACAAAGCCCTCAGTAAAGCAAATCTGAGTTCCTGTAGGGTTTTACCTCCTGTTACCACTGTACTGTGTTGTGGTTATTGTGTAGCTCGTCTTCAGTTGTTATTTCTGTTCCTATATATTGTGATTTATATTCGTTGAGTACAGTCAGTTTTCCTCAGCTGACATTGATTTTGGATTTATGAGGTGTTTCTGCTCTTCAAGAGAGGAGCAGGCAATGAGGCATGGTCCTTTTGTGTTGTCGGGGGTGGTTTAAAACTGCTTTATACACAGAGAAAAAGATGATTTTTAATGGTAGAAGTGAAGATTTGCTTGATGGTTACTTGAACATTTCAACAAATTTTAGTTTGCCTGGAAAAACACAACATTAGTTTTAGATTGGTGTACTTCCTGCTGCATTATTCCTATGGGAATGTGACCATAACCCAGGAGAACTTAAGTAAATAACAAGAATTTTGTGGAGCTGATGAGCTGTTACTTGGAAATTGCAAGGAAATTCTGCATTATTCCTAATTAGCCTTGTGTGCTCTGTGTTCCTGTTCCATGCAGTATGAATACATGGATAAAGCAGCAAGGATTTGTCCTCCCTCTTCATATAAATGTAGGTTTAATCCATAAATGAGGCAGGATTTGAAGGGCAGGGATCAATTCAGCTCACAGCATATTGTGTCAGAGTTGTGACATGCTGATAGGAAATAATATTAGATCATGGAAAAATAGATCCCAATTTATTGCTCAGTGTTTGGTGTGACAAATCCTTCACTGAATAATGTCATGTCTGTTCCAAATGAGTGTTTAGACTTGCAGATTTTTGCTCGTGTCTCTTGTATTGCCATTTGGAGACCTGCAAGTTCCAGCAGGGCTCTGCTTCATGAATAACATGGCATGGAAAGAGTTTCAGATGCCAGAAATATTTGGATGCTCTGATTGCTTCTCTTCTGCAGCTCTTGAATAGCAGCGTGCTGTTTTTTCGGGGAAATGGAAGTTGAATTAATTGTACATATTTAGCTTTGGAAACATTTTATACCTTTAAAGCAAAGTGAAGTTAAACAGGTGCAACTCCAGAATAGGAATTCTGTCCTGCTGTACCAGAAGTGTTTTGGGTTGGAAGAGACATTAAAGATCTGATTCCACCCCATGGCAGGGACACCTCCCACTGTCCCAGGTTCTTCCAAGCCCCAGTGTCCAGCCTGGCCTTGGACAATTCCAGGGATCCAGGGGCAGCCCCAGCTGCTCTGGGCACCCTGTGCCAGGGCCTGCCCCCCCTCCCAGGGAGGAATTCCTGATATCCCATCTAAACCTGCCTTTTCCCATCCTGCTTTTGCACCTTTGCTTCCTGCTGTCGTTGCAGGCTGTGGATGGCACACGTCTGGGCATCAGCAATAAATCACACGTGCAGAGCTTCTTGCACAAAAAGTACTTTAAGGAGAGTGGTACCTTGAATATTGTAAGAGCACTGGCCTTAGAAATGGCTCCGTGGTGTTCCTGTGCTGTTTCAATCTGCCAAGGAGAAATGGCATTTTTATTTAAAAACATATTTTTCAATAGTCCTGCTGGTGTCATCATCATCATCTGCACAAATTTCAGCTGACAGTTTGAAATCAAATGGTACCTGAGAGACACTTATGTTTGTCCATGTGAGGGGAAATAATACATGTTCTCAGCTGGATCTTCCAGTGGTTTCTGTCTGCCAGAGCATTGTTTTCACCCCCAGTACCAAACCAGTGCTGCAGACACACTCTGCTGTACACTTGGTCAAATGCAGTCATTCTGAAGCACTTTTTTCTTTTGATGAACCTGTTTTCCAGGCTGAGGTAATCCAGGCTGAAATTAGTACATATTATTTATAAATGATAAACTAATTAATATATCTTTTTATAGATTTACTAGTCTCATAAATATTATAATTATTTTATATATATTTATATATTTGTGCACCATCTTCAGTTGCTTTATAGTGCATGTTTTTAAGCTGACAGAGAGGTGGATAAATGACCTTAGAAGCTTTTAGCAGTTTCTTACCCCAAAATCTTACAGAACTCTTGAACTCTGTATTCCATTGTGGGGTGTCTCTTGGAAAAATGCAGGGATGGAAAGAAAAAGGGAGAAGTCTATTAGGAAGAACCAAATTGCAAGAAAAAAATTCAGGTTGAACCTTTTCACTTACCCAGTCCCAGGTATCTCAGTTATGCCTTGGGGGGAAAAGGAGAAAACTGGAGACAGTAACTGCATTTGGCTCTCCACCTAGTTTATTTTTATCCCTAAATTGTGACTGTGGGATATTTCTCCTCCAGCACTTTATTATC